GTTGTGGTGATTGCGATTTTCTTCCTTATCCTATCGCTGCCACTGCGCTATCCGCGCCGCGCTCACCTTGCATTAAGCCAGAGCAAGCCAGCGGAGACCGCATGGCGGGCAGCTTATGCCATCAGCGTTGGCATCGTGGACGCCGTCAGCACCACCTACGACATTCGCATCACTCAGTACATGTACACACTCACTGGAACATAGGACGCGACGCCGCAATGGCTACCCGACACAGTGCAGGGCATTGTTATCCCGTTACAGTGTGCAGGGAAACGGAAACATGTCATATCTACCGTCTCCCGACGTCGTTTTTGGTTCCGGGGTTGAGCCCGTTGGTGGACTTGGCAATTTTTCATTCGAGTTGTTCGGCCCTCGGGCCTCGCCATGCCGTGCCCAGTCCCAGGGCTGGATGAGATGCGGCGGATGTGGCGTTCCCTCGCGGGGCTCTTCGGCGTCGCGTCTAGTCTCGCCGCTGCCGGGCTCCACCGGCAGCCGATCGACGAGAGGTGTCGGCAACCTGGCGAAGAAGTGCGTGTCTCTGACCGACCGCGAGTGGTGTTCGAAGACCATCGCTGTGGACGAGTGGATGCTGCAGAGCCCGACGGGCGACTGGCGACAGTGCGACTGTGCGATGGCGCAACGCAGTTAGGCCGTGGATGCAGCTGCAGCCGCAGCGACGGAGGAAACTTCTGAGGTGGGGTGTGGCTTTCCCTGCCAGGTGTGCGGCGGCATCAACAGCGTGGAAGACTTGAAGTGCGAAGGGCCCGGCCAGGTGCGGAATCGCCCTGCGGCGAGACGACGCTGGAGTGGAATGTGCAGCTGGATCAAGTTCAGGGAGTGCTAGGCAAGAAGGAGGTTCCGACTAGCTGGGCAGACCCGGAGGAGCTGGCCCCGATCTCCCAGCGCAACTTGGAGGAGATGAAGGCTAGGGGCCTCGACGTCCAGGACGTCAGGATGAGGCTCCAGGATTGCCGCGACAACCTGAAGCTCATGGCGGCCAAGTTGATTTCGCAGACGGGGGCGGCCACTCTAGGGGCCAGCGCGTCAGATGCGATCTCGACGCCAACGTCGTCATCTTCGGGTCCGCTGCGGACCGCCCAGTCGGCGGCGGGCCGTTGGCTCGCGACGGGCGACGAGGCGACGAAGATGGCCGAGCCAGTCTTTGGGCCACGGTCTTCCTCCCGCAAAAACTTTTAAGCAACCTGTGCCCCCGAGGAGCAGCGATTTCCAGCAGATCTGGCGCCGTGCGACCCACTGGGGCTGGCAGCCGCCGCGGCCTACTGCGAGGTGGGGCCCGTGGGGCAAGCCCTACTTTGCAGCCCCTCAGTCCCTTCGGACCCGCTTTGGCGACGGGTTCGCCTTCGCGACGCAATGCGCGGCTCAGGGATTTCGCGGGGGGGCCCGACCCAGGCGTGGCAGGGGGTGGTCTAATGCAAGTGGACGGCGTGGCATTGGGGTGTACTGGGAAGGCTTTTCAGCGAACTCAAGGCGGAGAGGACCTACCGCGGGGTAGTGGCGCCTCCAGCTTTCAAGTCTCGGCGCGGCGCCTCAGGCAACGCAGGCGCGAGGCCAAAGGCACAGGGGCCGACCCCGCCGAAGACGCGGCGAACATTTGTGACGGACTCGACCTGCTGAGGGCGCGCGCTCCAGCCGACGGAGACAGTCATCAAGAACGGCGGTGCGGCTCAGAGATGTGGGTTGCAGAGCGGTTGCGACCTCGCGAGACGCAAGGGGCTCGAGGAGATCCTGGCCATGATCCCAGAAAAGCGACCTCGTCTCGGATGGTTCTCACCGGACTGCGGCCCATTCTCAATCGCTCAGAACGGCGGCCAGAGGGCGGCGCGCCAGCGAAGCGCGCTGCGGATGAAGCAGGCGCGTGCCCGCATCATGCTCAAGAGCTGCAGGATCTGCGCGGAAGAGATCCTGAAGTGCGGCGGCCACGTTGCGGGGGGGCGGCCCGGGTCACGCGGCAGCTGGCGGGGCGCATGGGCAGGCGTGAAAGGGGGCAGCTGCGCGTGATCAAGCTGCGCGGCGGCGCGTTCGGTCTTCGAAATCCTTGCAGCGGCCTGTTTCTGACGAGGTCGCGGCATCTCGTGGCCTAGATTTTGTGGCGCAGGTATGTCCTGGCGGACATTGCCATGTCGAGATCAGCGGAAAGTTCGCGCCCTGCTTAGTTGGCGATCTTCCGAAGAGCTGCAAGAAGGTAGCTCCGTGCCTGGAACCGATCAAGTGGTCCCAGTGGGCGCAGGCGCTGGACCGCATCCTTGCAATAGAGGAATACGACGCCAAGACCTTCGGCGTGGCGCGTGCACTACACAGGCCACCGCGACCAACGCCTGGCATGAAGGAGGCACCCAACATCACGACAGGAGGCCCCGAGGTCAAGGAAGGTGACACTTCGGGCTTGGATGCGCAGGACATGCTCGACAGCAGAACCGACAGCCAGCTGGTCGAGGTGCAGGGCCGAAGCTATCAGCATGCAACAGATGTCGCAGCCCCCTTTTCCCTGTCCCCCCCTTGCCTTGTCCCCCCCCATTCGCCCGACCTGACCTGGCCGCCCTCCCCCCGCGCCACTTTTGGCGGGCCTGGAACGTATTCGCCGACTCCCCAGACCTCGCACGAATCGGGAAAGTCAATGCGGAGATTTGGAGCCGTTCCCCTGAGGGCCTTCTCCAGGAGCCCGGGGGGCCGCCAACAAAGCGCGGCGCGGCCGTCTTGAAGCCAATTTGGCCCCCAAAGGTGCTTCCAAGAGGTGCCCGGGAAGCTTCGGTGAGCGGGGGGGGCTTCTTCCGGCGGAGGGGGACGGGGAGGGATAAAAAACCCTTCTCAAAAGGGACAGAAAAGGGTTGGAACAGAGAGTACCCTAAATCACCCAAACCCAGAGGGCTGGTGGGATTTATTGGCCACGGATTCGTCGCCAGTTTTCTAATGCACACGTGCTAGTCTACGGTTTTCCTGTGCGCAGGTACGGGTTTACGCTGTGGCTTCTGTTCCCGGGCGTATCCAAGGTAGTTGTGGTGAGGCCGCGCTGCAGTGTGCCGGATTATTCGCACACGCGCGATGCTAGAATTTGCCGTCACCGTGATTCGTGATTGTTGCCATCACTGCCATCAGCATCGTCATTTTATCCCAGCGGGTTTGCCCAGGTTATTCTGTTATTCGTCGTGTTGAGAATCATCTCTGGGTGCCCCGCTCCCACGTGAGGTCTATTGGGTCTAGTTGGGCTGCAAAGCCATGAGGTTATGGGGCTACATGGCTAGGGTTATAGGGCGATAGGGGGTATAGGGCCATAGGGCTATATGGCTACGGGTTATAGGGCGCTATATGGCTATAGGGTTACTGGGCTAGGGCTACAGGGCTATGGGGCTACAGGGCTATGGGGCTATTGGGCCAGGGCTATAGGGCTATGGGGCCATAGGGCTACAGGGTTTGGGGCTACAGGGCTATAGAGCTATAGGGCTATAGGGCTATAGGGCTATGGGGCTATAGGGCTATAGGGCTATAGGGCTATGGGGCTATAGGGCTATAGGGCTATAGGGCTATAGGGCTATAGGGCTATAGAGCTATAGGGCTATAGGGCTATAGGGCTCTAAGTCTATAGGGCTATATGGCTATACGGTTATATGGCAATAGGGCTATAGGGCAAGGGCTATAGGGCTATGGGGCTGTAAGGCTACATGGCTATAGGGCTATAGGAGGGCTATTGGGCTATAGGACTATACGGCTATACGGCTATGGGGCTATAGGGCTACAGGGCCATAGGGCTATAGGGCCATAGGAGGGCTATAGGGCTATTGGGTTGTTGGGATATAGGACTATAGGGCTACAGGGCTATAGGTCTATGGTGCACCCGGGCACCCGGGCGGGCCGCCGCAATCGGCGACGCACTTCCTGGGCACCCGGGCACCCGGGCACTTGGGCAACCGGGCGTGCCGCCGAAATCGGCGACGCAGCTAACCTAACCATATAAATCCGCTAGGACCCGTACAGAGGCAAGCTCAGCGTGAGGAGTATTCGTCCAATATCCGCCTGTAGGGGGACATGCCCGACCTAAGCGTATCCCCGACAGTCCATCCAGACACGATGCCCAGAAGAGCTGTCCTAAAGGGGGGAGCGTAGCATCGTTTAGAGATATCGGGAGCCTGATTGGGCCAGAGGCCCCTTGGATGCTTTCTTTCGGTCTCTTGTTGTGTTTCTTGAGGGCCTCGTAGGGGTATCTTGGGGCGTCTTCGGGCCTCTTGCTGGCTCTTTGTGGGCCTCTTGGAGCGTCCTGGGTGCCTCTTGGAAACCTCTTGGGGCCTCTTGGGGCCCCCTTGGGGCCATCTGGGATGCTATCGATCCAAGAAGGGGGATCCTTTAATAGCGTTGCCCCCCCAGGAGGCAACCAATGGCTCCAAAGTTACAGAAAGTCAATGATTTGCGCCTTCTCGCTGAGGCCGTCTTGGACGCGACATTCGATTCCTCAATGATTCCGAGGGCTGTAATGTTCGACATCGGGGGCGTGGGGCCTCTTAGCAGTTTGCTGCAGTGCATTTTGGGAGCTGCTTTGGACCTCCTGTGAAACTGCTGGGGTCTTCGGGCCATCTGGTAAGGCCTCTCAGACGTCATCGGGGTCCGCGGGCAGCTTTGGAGGGCCATGTGGCGTCCACCTGGGCCGCCTTGAAGGCGTTGGAGCGATCTCGGACCGTGCGGGGGCCATATCTTGAGGTCTTTTCGCCGTCTGTGGGCCATCTTGCGGCTGCTCGAGGCCTCTTTGGGCAGCTTGTGGGACCCCCTTTCCCTCCCGCTTCGCCCTTCTTTGATATTGCTTTCCGTTTCCTTCTCTTCTCGTCTCGTCTCTTCTCTTCTTTTTTGTGCCAGCCCCAGCCTCACAACCTTCTACTCTCCTTTTCTTCACATCCCATCCCAACCTGAACCTGCCTTCTTGTTCCCCTTTCGCTGTCTTTCCCGATCCAATCTCCCCAAACGCTCGAACAAGTTCCTGGCGGCGGCGCGCGCAGGTCGCTCGAGGTGGCGTTCGACGACATCGCGTCGCCAGAGCCGTCGCCGTGCACCGACGAGGCGATGCAGGGGGGGGGGGAAGGGCCCGGCAGGTCAGCAAGGGCATGCTCAGTGGAAGCGACGCCACACATTTGCGAGTTCAGCCGCGCTGCCGGGCCGCGGAGGTAGCCGCGTTCTGCGCTTCGCGGGCGGGGCGGGAGAGTTGTCCTTCTCCAAGGTGGGCGGCGCCGGAGTGTGAAGATGGCCGCTCTTCGCGCGACGCGACGCGCGAAGCGAGGTGCAGTGCAGCGGACACCACAAACAAGGCTGTGCCTAGGCTGGCGCCCCTGGGAGGCCTCGTGACCTGTAGGCCCAGGGGCGCCTGCGAGACACCTGCGAGGAAGCTGGATAATTCCACATGGCGCGGCCGGCGTGGCAAGAGCTGGACTCATCACGAGCTGACAGCTAGCACCCATGTCTATGCGCGACGCACCGATTTCTCGGTGGGGGCTCTGGGTGTGTGCTGTCGGATGGGGTCCCCCGCTCGAACGGGAGTCCTCCTCGGGCCCTCGGGGTCCGACACCCTGCGCCCATGCCCATAGCGCCTCCATCGCCTTGCCCGTCCCCATTCATCCTCCCGGTAGGTTTCAGTGTGTGTGGTTCTTTCATCAGCACACGTGGGGCTTTCCAGGAAGGGCCTCGCCCTCGGCGGAGGCCGGCCCACGGCCCGCGGAAGCTGGCGGAAGCAGAACGAGCTTCTTGATCTCGGCGGGAGCATGCGGGGGACTCGTGGAGGAAGCCAGCGGAAGTGAACGTTCAGTACGACCGAAAGTGGTACGGAAATGATGGGCACGAAGACCGACAGCAGGCCTTGCTCGTCCTGAACAAGACTCGCTGTCCGTGCCGCCTCGGGCCTGGTCCATTTGAGACAGAGGCAGCCTGCCCAACAGCGGCCGCTGTCGGTTTTGGACAACATTTGCTGTTGGGCATCGTACCCATTTTTCCGTACCCATGTCGGGCGTCCAAATTTGCCAGCAGAAGCATGCGGGGGGCTCGCGGAAGCCAGCGGAAGTGAACGTGGAACCCCCAGAAAGAGGTCACTGCTAGAATACACAGGGTTTCTGTTTGTCGGCCATCTGTGTCCCGACCTCCTTCACATGTGGCTGGAGCAGATGGGCTCCCGAGACCGCGCCGCATCGTTGATGTACCAGCGACGCTGCGCGATCTGGAACCCGATGTTTTCCATCACGACATCGCCGATGCATCGTCGATGCTTCGGCGATGCGGCGTCATGGTCTTTCCCTTCTTTATTTAATATCGGCGCGCAAAAACTCGTATGTTGTACATCCCTGCGTCCGCTAAGCCTAGTGTACCTCGCTTAGGAGGCCGCCAATGCGGCCGCGCATCTTTACATGGCATGCGCGGCACAGCTGGCGCCACAAGTCAGGAGGTAGATTGTGTAGGCTGTCGTCCCCGCCAAGAGTGGCGGCAAGCACGTGTATGAATAGCGTGTCATGCGATCTGCAGCCCAAGGCGTGTTATGTCAATGCGTGTCATCGCCAGACCAGCCGACACTTCAACCACCATCGCCGGCTTCAGCCGCGCCTGACGAACTTCACCCCGCAACATCATCCGTCTGAGACTTTTCCGTATCGCCGCTGCGCCCGCCCGCTTCGTCCCTTCTCCTCGTCGTCGTCGTCGTCGTCGTCGTCGTCGTCGTCTTCCTCTTCCTCTTCCTCTTCCTCTTCCTCCTCCTCCTCCGCCTACCCCTCCTCCTCCCCTCCCTCCTCCTCCTCCTGCTCCTCCTCCTCTGGGGATCTCTCATCGCCCTCCGTGGCAGGAGCTGCAGCGGCGGTGGCGGCGGCGGTTGCAAGAGCAGTGCTTCGACGACTTCAGAGTCCAGGACGTGAGCTGGAAGACATGGCCACCTCCGACGGAGTCCACGATTCGCCTGGGCCTGCGCCGAGCGCGCCGCGCCATGCGGTGCTTGATGAAGCTATCGCCGAAGGCCTGGCTGGCCTTGCCTCAGGGCGCCTGCACGCTGGCGCTTGCCATGTGCTGGCAGATGGCAGGACTACCGATGTGCAGCTGCTGGAATGCCAGCATGGCGAGGTGTGCGGGGAGCGTGCCAGACATGGGTGTCCGCACGGGCGCGTCAGGGGCTCGATTCTTGTATTCGCGTTCGACAAGTTCGGGGGGTTCCCCCTGAAGGCGCACAAGCCATCGAAGCAGTGGTACGCGCGGCACGCGATGTGGGATGCCGCTGGATGGAGCGTGAGCTGAAATCCCTGTGTGATGTGGTCTTCCCTGTCAAGGGTGAGAGGCAGGAGGGCCCCCATGAGGTCGCCCACCGCCCTGGGGAGACTCGACCCATGGCCCTGGAGAACACATCCAAAAAGGTGGCGACGTGGTCCATTAGCCTTGGAATGAAACTGGCGGCGGGGGAGAAATGCGTGGATACACCGCGGGGCTTCCTCAGGGGCCGCAGTTTCTGCGCTGCCATCACCGGGTTCGACAGCTATGTGGGAGTTGCAGGCGTGCGCGCTGCCGATGCGCGCGGCGACGGGGTGGATGAGGAGTGTTACATGGAACGCAAAATCCCGATGATGCTCGCCAACGACTTCGCCCAGGTCTTCCCCAGCATCGCCGACTGCTGGATCCACCTCGCCCTTGAGGAGATGCAGGCGCCGTGTGTCATGCGAGTTCGCGTTGTTGGGTGCCGCTCATCGACGTGCGGTCCGGAATGTTGCAGGGGGGCCCGCCAGCGGCATGATCTACGTCGTGGCGGCGCATGCCATCGGCTGCGACATGGTGATCTACGTGGACGGCAAGAGCCGCGGCCGCACCCGATGGTGCGCGGACGACGTTGGCGCTGGTCTCCGTGGGCGAGCTGGGCTGAGCGGCGCCAATCTTCAAGATGCCGCGACTCCTGGCGGCCAACTGCTGCGTTCGCATGGCGGCGCCGCGGTCCTTTTCTCAAGCCCAGCAAGTGCTTCGCCAACCCAACTGGCGAGCCCTTCACGGAGGAGCTGGTCGAGCAGGCGAGGGGCACGTAGGCGGGGGTGGTTGCTGAGTGGGCGGGGTTTTTCATCGGCGATTCCCTGGAGTACCTGGGCATCTTGCTGGACCCAGGACTGGTCGGCGAGGCTCAGTGGCGAGGGTATGTTCAGACATGGCGTGGGCGAGTTTCAGCCGTGGCTCGAACGACGTCGGGGCGTTCGCCTCGGCTTCTTGTGCGGGGAGCGGTGTGTGAGTGTGCACTCCTACAAGGCCCCCTGACCAGTAGGGCGCAGCTGGAGCAAGGCCTGATGGCCAGGCTCTTCTGCCTCCAGGCTCCTTCGTGGGCTATGCAGGAGTGGTTCGAGCTGGTGGCAGGCCCCCGCGCTGGTGGCGACGCTGGAGAGTGCGGCCGAGGGCAGCAGCAGCGCGACGCGCCGCGCGGCCTTGCGGAAGCTGCGAGCGGCGAGGAGGCCCGTGCGAAGTTCATGGTCTTCTTCAACGAGGACTTCGAGCTGCTCTCGACCTCGCTGCGCGACAGCGACAAGCAGGGCTTGCGCCGGGCTCTCTTCTTCGCGCGGCAGCAGCTCGGGGCGCTCTCTGGAGTCTAGGAGGCCAAGACGGCGTAGATGGCAGCCGACGACGTCGGGCGCAAGCTGGAGCTCTCCAAAAGGTGGACTACGACAGGAAGCGGGCGGCTTCTACGCGGGCACTGGATGCGGTCTACCAGCAGATGCATCGCGTGGAGGTGCTCGAGGCCGAGTTCAAGGTGGTGGTTGCCGAGGCGAAACAGGCTCGGTGGGCGCGCCTCCTCCTACGCCGCGGCCGCCTGCGCGGTGGTTGGTGGGCAATTTCTTGGGCTTGGCCAAGGACATCTCCAGCCACCTCGCGGGGGCGAGCTTGGGCGAGGCGCGCGGTCCGCCCGTGGCGCTCTCCACTGCTCTCTCAACAACGACACGATCGCGCTCGAGGCGACGCCGCTGGTGGGGGCGATGCTGCTGTCGTTCCGGCCGCAGATCCACTGTCGTCTGCTGCGGGCGAAAGTGGGGCTGGCGATCGCGCTGACACTGCCGTGCTGGTCGAGGACGACGCGGACGTGGGCGGTGGTGTGGCCTCGTCGGCAGAGTCGTTCAGCTCCGCAGCGGCCGATTTCTGCGCTGGCGACGCCGAGAAGCGCAAGTGGCTCGACGAGTTCCAGGCCCAGTACGGAGAGAACGCGAAGAAGCCCAAGCAAGGGTAGCAGGGTGTGGCGCGCCGCCACGCTCAGCGTGAACAAGGTCGCCAATCTCGACAAGTGCTTGACTGAGGAGCTGGGGCCGGCGGACTTGACCTTCGTGCAGAAAGGAAACCAGGCTCAGCGCAGCGCGCGCGACGGATGCTGATGGGGGGCTTCGTCGTCGTGGGGGGCGTGCTGCCGGTGCTGCGGCCGTTCCATCGTAGGCCGGGGACTCGCGACTGGTGGTCCACTGACGTGCTCGAAGATGGCTCACGGGCTGGCACCCCGGATGTCGTCCAAGCTGCCCGTTCTTCGAGAAGGATGCGTGCAACTCCATCATCGCGCAGCGGTGCTGCCTGGGGGGGTCGCGTTCGCGAGCGCGTGCCTGGAGTCGGGGGTCGGCGTCGGCGCTTTGAATTTCCAGCTGCTGCGCGACCCGGCGGGCCGGTTGCGCGAGTGTGGGTGCTCGTGTATCATCGGGGGGGGGGCTTCGACGTCGCGAAGAGGGACTTCGAGAATTGCGGCACCATGCGCTTCTTCGAGGCCGAGGTGGTCGGCGAGGAGGAGGCTGCGTGCGCGCAGTCGCAGCGCGAGATGGACATGTTCATCGTGTCCATGGCGCTGAAGATGGTCAAGGTATCGGTTGTTGCTGTGTCGCCCATCTACCCTCGTCGCCCTGACGTTCTCGAGGTCCGGGCTGCGCGGCGGCCCCCTTGGATTCGCATCGCGGAGGTGCCGCAGCGTTTCCCGCGGCGGAGGCCCGCGGGGTGCGCAGTCGCGGACCCTGCCAAGCGTGGGCGACCCGTTGCCCATGACTTGCAGCAATTGCTGGGTATTGTTCCTGATCTGATCGTGATCGACAACGAGC